ATGATTGTCCCCACAACATCGCAGTCAGTACCTATGAATGTCATGTTTCCTCCACAACCACCCTCTTTCCCCAAGTGTTCGCCATTTGGAAATCACTCATGTGCTGAAGTGATTCCTCTTGATTCTATCACAATTGGGCTCCAAGGGCTTTCAAGAGGAAAAAATTTCCTGATGTGATGGTTGAGTCATGCTTCGTGAAAATGAGCAATTCATTCCCAGCACGCGCTCTAGTAACATTGCATTACATTTGCCGAGAACATGTGCCTTCTGGGAGTTTTGTTTCATGAGAGTAAAAATGAAGTCACTCTGCTTTTAATTCCTTTGCTAAGCTTAACAAAACAAAGCAGCATTTCTTAATTTAAAGATGATCATGAACTGAAAGTACTGAAGTCCTCATTTTTGTCTCTTGGATCCTGAGGGCAAGCAAGGTCCCACTCGGCCAGCTGAATCTTGGCAAGACTCCTACAAGCCATGTTACACTGCCCGGCCTCAGTTTCCCTATCTGCAAAACAGGGTCAATAAAACCTGCCCCTTTTATGCCTTAAAACAGTTATTATTGGACTGATTTATACTAATGAAATCTTTTTAGAAACGTAAGTGGGACTTCATTCTGCAATTGACAATGCAGCTTCTAATAGAAGCTTCAATTTTGTTTTCTGTCTCCCTTCATTCTCAAATTTCCTACAGCCAGAGTCTTTTTTGGCCTTATGACCTGAACTCAAATTAGATACCCTCAATTTCAATTAGAAACAAAAATGATCAAAAAGCCACTGAACTCTCCTAAATGGCGGCCCCGATCTGGAGTTCCTGGTCAGCGCAGAAGCTTGCTCAGACTACCTCTTGTTACTTCTTAAAGACTCCCTCAGAGGTGATCCAAGAATGCTGGGCTGCACAGGCAGGAAACCGATGTCTCTTAGAAGCTGCTTTTCTCCTCACCTTTGCTTCCTGTCTCAGACTCAGGACTTCTCACTTCGGCCCAGTTTTTGGAACTTGGGCAACAGCCGCTGCCTCGGGGAGGAGGAGGTTCTGGGCTTAAGTCCTTTCTATTTTGGAGTCTGCCCGCTGAGTCACCCTCACCTGCCCCAGCCCCCAGCCAGCTCTCTTATCCATTAGACAGCTTCTGCACCGTGCCTAGGACCAAGGAGCTTCCTGAAAACCTATGAACATTTTTGAGACCTGACAAAAAGAAAGGACTGACCTCGAAATATAAAAAACAAAATTAAGAAACATTTAATTAAATGTCTACAAACTAAAAATAATGTGACATTAATCGATAAATGTTAATATTCATATAAGTGGTAATTAAATTTGAAAACAATTAGTAGGTTAGATTATTTCCCTTTATTTGTTTTTTTGAAAGATTTATTTATTTTTATTTGAGAGAGAGAGAGGCAGAGAGAAGGAAGAGAATCCCAAGCAGACTCCCCACTGCGCATGATCTCAAGACCTGAGTCGGGGGCTTAACCAACTGAGCCCCCCAGGTGTCCCAGGTTAGTTCCCTTTGCTGAGAAACTGGCTGCAAATTAAATGGTTTACTTGTAGCTAAATCATTTTTAAAAGTTTCCAGAAAACCAGTACTGTGTGTACATTTTAGTATATTTGATATGATGTGTAGTCAGACCTTCAAAAGACTGAGTGCTTGAAAATTAGAATACAGACTATGTGCTAGATGGTATTAGTCAATGACTGTTAATTTTCTTAGTTGTGTGGATGGTATTGAGGTTAAGTGGGAGAATCTTAGGAGAGACATACGGAAGTATTTAGGGGTGGTGTCCTTGCTTTCAAAATGTTCTGCAAAATAATAACAACTATATGGTGGAAAGGAGGAGGAAATAGTCTCATTTATTCTGCTCATAGTAGCCTTGATTATGGATAATAGTTTCCACATCTTTGTGGTCAGTTTCTTATATTTGAATGTCATTTGTTTCCTACAAAATCATCCTCTTCCCCTAGGTGTTTGCCATTTGAGAATCACTCAGCATGTCAGCCATCTGCTTTCAAAATGTTATGCAAAATGATAATACACATGTGTGTATAAATATATATATACATGCTACACACACATATATAATATATATATTACACACACACACATAAAGAGAGAGAGAATCAATGTGGTGAAATGTTAACAAGTGCTTTGAAGACCGTAATAAACCAGGTAAGAGGATAAAGAATGATGGATAGCATGGTCAGGAAAAACCTCTTGAAATAGTAACATCTGAACCAGGTAAGAGTGAAGTGAAGAAACAAGATATACAAAGATTTGAAAGAGAAGTATTCCAGGCACAAAGAAAGGCATATGCAAAGGCCCTGAGGCAGGACTTATTAGAACTTGATACTGTCCAGCTAAATTGTTGTTGCTGTTAATCTGGTGAGAGTAAAATGTGCTCTAATGATACTTATTTGTATTTCCCTGCTTACTTTTCATATATTTATTTGCTATGTGTGCCTCATTTTCTGTGAAATTCTTGTCAAGCCTTTTCCCTAGTTTTCTATTGGGGTGTCTTTTTCTTATTGATTTGTAGGAGTTATTAATATATTCTGGATATGGCTCCTTTGCCTATTATGTGTGAGGCAAATATCTTCTCCCACTTCTATGGATTGTCTTTTTATTCTTCTTATGGTGTTTTTCTAAGAACAGTTGTTCTTCATTTTTATGTAGCTGAATGTATCCATCATTTTATACTGTGTTTTTGCGTCTGATTTAAATTTTTTTCTTATCCTGAAGTAAAAAGAGATGTTCCATTTATATTATTCTAAATGTTTTATGGTTGTGTTTTTCATATTGAAGTCTTTAATACACCTAGAATTGAGTTATGTATAATATGAGGTAAGGATCCAATTTTGTATTTTTTTCCATATGAATATCTTATTGTTTGGGCACCATTTATTAAAGTAGCCCACCCTTTTCCTATTGATCTGTAGTGACCACTCTATCAATGAAGGCACTATTTATGCATTTATGTTTCCATTGGTTTATTTTATTTTATTCCATTGGTTTATTTGTTCCCAGATTGATACAACACATTCTTTAATTTATATCTTGATATTTAACAGAGACATTCTCTCACCTTGCTCTTCAGCCAGAGTCTTGTTTATTCTTGAACCTTTGTTTTTCTACCTAAGTTTTAGATTTAACTTGAGAAATTCTATGAAAAATCCTGCTGGGGATTTTAACTGAGATGCTTTGGAGTTATCAATCAGTGTAGGGGATGGACATATTAACAATGTTGAGTCTTCCTGCCCAAGAATATGTTAAATCTTTGCATTTATTTACTCTTTCTTCAATGTCTTTGAATAAAGTTTTATAATTTTCTTCTTAAAGGACTTATTTCTAAAAACTTTCTTTTGGTTACCTTTTAAAGATATCTTTACAAATCTTCATTTTCTAATTTCTTGTGGCTAATGTATAGAAATATACTTGATTTCTATGTTGATTTTGTATATTGGTTTTACCTAGGAACCAAGTGAAATATTTATTCTATTTATTTGTAGATTCTTTTTTTTTTTAAAGATTTTATTTATTTATTTGAGAGAGAGAGAGCACATGAGAGGGGGAGGGTCAGAGGGAGAAGCAGACTCCCTGCCGAGCAGGGAGCCTGGTGCGGGACTCGATCCAGAGACTCCGGGATCATGACCTGAGCCGAAGGCAGTTGCTTAACCAACTGAGCCACCCAGGGGGCCCTGTAGATTCTTTTCTACATAAGTAATCAATTGCCTGCAAATAAGAGCACTTTTTTTTTGTTATTTCTAATTCCTATACAGTTTTTGCCTTTATCTGGTTTTATTGCACCAGTCAAGATGTTCAACACAATATTAAATAGGAGCGGTGAAGCTGACACACATATCTTGTTCCTGATCTTAAAGAGAAATGGTAAATATGAGGTCTGCTGTAGGTTTTTCATAGATACCTTTTCTGACATGTGTTTTCGAACACCACCAATTCTCAGCAGATACTGGCTGGGTGTACCCCGGATTTTTCTTTAAGATCTAATTTTTTAAGTAATCTCTACACCCAGTTTACTCACTTCATTACTAATTTATTATCATAGGATATTAAAGGATACGAGTGAACAGCTGGACAAAGAGACACCCAGAGTGAGGTCCAGAAGGGTCCTGAACACGGGGGCTTCTGTCCCTCTGGAGTTTAGAGTGGGTCACCCTCTGGGCACGTGCATACATCATGTTCTCATTCACCAACCTTGAAATTTCCCATACCCCATAGGTCAGGGACTTTTATAGGAGCACATAATTGATTAAATCATTGACTGTTGGTGATGGAACTCAATCTCCAGCCCCTCTGCCTCCTTAGGGGTCAGGGGGTGAGGATGAAAGTTTCAACCTTCTAATCACCTGGTTGGTTCTGTGGGCAACCAGCCTCTACCCTCAGGTTACCGAGGCGCTTTCCAAGAGTAACCTCATTAACCCAATGAGGGGTGATTGAAAGGGGCTGTTATTAATAACAAGGCCCCCCATTTCACCTTTATTGCTCTGAAGCTACTTCAAGAACTAAGGGCAGGAGATCAAATATTATAACAAAAGATACTCCCTTTGTTCTTAGTAGGAAATTCCAAGGGTTTGGGGAGCTTGGGCCAGGAGCTGTGGATAAAGACCAATACATATTTCTTATTATAAACCACAATATCACACACATACACACTTTTCCTCATTAAATCCTCCTCAAGCCCATCCTGCTTGTTTTAAAGTTATAACTTTATTATTCTCTTCTATACTGGACCAGGTGCCTTATACATTACCTCATTTAATCTTTACAATAACCCTTATGAAGTAGGTATTATTGCTTCTTTTAGAGAAATTAAGGGAATTTTCTTTTTTTTTTTTAGATTTTATTTATTTATTTATTTATTTGAGAGAGAGATCACAGAGGGAGAGGGAGAAGCAGATTCCCCCCTGAGCAGGGAGCCTGATGCGGGGCTCCATCCCAGGACCCCGGGATCATGACCTGAGCGGAAGGCAGGTGCTTGACCCACTGAACCACCCAGGTGCCCCTAAGTAACTTTTCTAAAATAGTATTGCTGGAAAGGGATTGAGCAAGGTTTGTCTAACTTTGCAAGCTCTGCTTTCCCCAGAAATCTTTGCCGCCTTCTCCTTGGGTTGAAATCTATTCCAGTAAAGGGAACTCTGTGAGGATGAATCAGAGCAGTTGATTTGAACAGAGGAGACTGTGAGGAGAGGAAGTAAAGAGAAATGGGAACTTAAGTGGACAGTGAGCACCCCCTCCCCCGGCATATGATGCGGAATTTGTGGGAAGCAGGCATTCCACCTTCGCTGCCTGGGTCACCTTCACATCCAAATGTCTTCTCTCAAGACTCCCTAGGGTGTCTATAGCCATGGCAATCCAGATAATTACGGGCTGATGAGGGCCACACGGTGGTTCCCACTGCATGCCACGCTCAAGCCAATCGCAAGTGCTCCCTTCCTTTTGTTTTGTTTTGTTGCTACCAAGTTGGCTCCCCTGATTACCACTTCCTAAAAATCATCTCACCATCCTACACATCCTGTGTTAAGTGCTTGTTATTCCTGCTACAAACTCTTGTTTAGCCTCTCATTTCCTTTGATGAAGAAGTAATAAATAGGAGATGGAAATCCACAGGGAAGATGCATTCATTTGTTCAGCAAATATCGAATGAGAGCCTCCTATGTCTCAGGCACCATGCAAGGGGCTAGGGATATAGCAATGAACAAGACTGACAAACCCCACTGATGCTTACATTCGAGTGATAGAAGACAAGCATCGAGCAAATAGACAAATACACAAAATAACTGTGGATTGGAATAAGGGATAACCATGAAACAAATTGGGTAATGAGCTAGGGGGTAAATGGGCAGGACTTCTGAGACGGAATGGTCAGGGACAGCATCTCCAACACACACCGGAGTTCAGGGCTGATAGTTGAAAGAGACAGTGCGCCATATAAAGAATGGGAGGGGAGCACTGGGCAGAAGAATCAGCAGGTGCACAGGCCTGGGGCCGGGAAAATGCTTGGCAAATTTGAGGAACAGAAGGTCTGGCTGGACTACAGTGAACGGGAGAACGGACTAAATGACACTGGAGAAGGGCGGGGGAGCCAGACCACTGCAAATAGTTTGCATTTTATTCTAACTGCAGTGAAAAGTCCATGCAGGTTTCAGCAGGGCAACGGCATGATCTGCTTTACTATTTTGAAAGATCACTTAGGTCACTGTGTGAAAAGTGGGTGGGAGAGTAAGAGATGAAGGCAGCATGCCTGGGGAGTGTCTTTTTTTTAACACAGTTTTCCCGGAGGCTCCACTCAGTGACCCTCCACCCTCCCCTGACATCCCATTGGTCAGGTGGTCAGCCCTAGCTGCAAGAGATACTTGAAAGGTGACTATTTTAGGCACAGGAAGGCAAAGGGAGCAATGGTTTGCGAATGGCTTTTGGGTAGCCAATCCGGTGTCTGCCAGTGGGGTCGTCTGCGTTATACTTAAAACAAGCCACATGGGTGGGGCCATTTTTATTGGGCTCGTTTATAAAGGGGAAGCAGTGTTAAAACACACAGAGCTCACAGGGCTTGAGTGCCAGGCTTCTGACCTCAAATTCAATGTGCTCTTCTCACTACCTTTCATTTTTCTGGGCTCTGCAAAAGGCCGACCCTAGTCACACAGCTCTTGCCGTGTCTCCAGGTGAACGATTCTTCCAACTCAGTGTTTAACGTCCAGCGTCCCTGAGCAGTTATCATGGCTGGATGGGCACCGAGAGGAGGCCAGGCCATCAGATCAGACTTTGGAATGGAGAGAAGCCCTTTTAAAAACGAAAAGAAAAAATATGATCTTGGATGATACCCGGAAATACTGTTCCACCGAACAGAAGGATAAGGTCGAGACATCCCACGGGGTGTGGAAGACAGTCCGTTGGAGTGTGGGAAGGACACTCACATCTTGTGTTTATATGGCTATAGATGACACAGACATGGAGGGTTAGCACTGCTAATATTTAATACAGGAATTGACACGTTCCCTTTCAGTGGATTGTGACAGTATGTGCCTACAAGTGCCTGCTTAAGGGGATTTGCCAGTAATAGTGTCTTAAATGGTAAACTATAATTCTTTGTGATGCGATGGGGAGTATAAATGAAATTCTACTCAGAAAAACAATGGCTAATAACCATACATATGTCTTCACATGACCTTGCAGCCAGAATGTGGCGTTACAGATTATATGCAATGAGTATTTAACACAGGTACATTTTTTCCAGATTAAGGAACAATCTCTTTCATGCATTCTTTTGTGTCCTTCTCCCCCTTTTAACCAGTTAGGATGGTGATCTTTTCCAAGTAATGACATGACCCCGTGTTTTCTGTTGTGAAAATTCAGTGACATAACTAATGGATAACTAATTAGACAACTGACGGATAACCAGAATCCTAGACTAGTCACAACCAATGAAGAATATGAAGAATATCACGTGGATTGGGGATTTGTGCTGGCACAATCAGAGCACTATCTCCCTGAAGGCAGACTGACAATCAGAGGATTGCTTTGGTGCACGAGGAATCAGAACGAGGGGAGTTCTCACGTCTCCATGTAATGTTTAATGCTGTCTGATAGACCCATTCACAACAGCAATTACTGGGCCAGTGGGACCAGGAAATTCAAGGAAGGCAATTACTTGGACAGAATTAGGATGGGTAATGTTGACCTCTGGGACACTTGTTCTTTGATATGTTTATGGTCACTAACTTTCACTTTTTAAAATTTCTTTTTTCCTTTATCTTTTTATTGTGGAGATTTGGAAACATAAAAATACACAGTATAAAAGAATGACCTCCCCCCTCCCCCGCCGGGCACCCATCACCCAACTTCAATCATTAGTCACACAAGGTCATTATTCACACTGGTTTTATCTACACCCCCATCCCCTTTCTCTACCTCTTGTATTGGAATTTGAAGTAAGTTCCAAAATCCTGGTTGTTTCTTAAGATATTTTATGGAACCAAGTCCTGCTGGTTTGATAGCCATGTTATTCTTTCTCTGGTGACTGTAGATGTCTCTGCTCTGATCGTAAAATGGCTCCCAAAGAGCCATTTTTGAGTTCTTGGAGGAAGCCTATGTTCTGACAACAATTAGCATTATCATCAGGCAGAGTACATTCCACTTACTTTTATCTTTCCTTAATTACACAGGAGCATCATTCTCAGATCTCTGACGAGACTGCACTGTGACGCAGAAATGCCAGGCTTCCTATGTTCTGCCCAGGGACTCAACCCACGTGCCGGATCTCTGCCACTGGGGTCCGAGAGTCTGTGCGGTTAGCGAATTCTCAGGTGACTCTGCCCGCTCAGCTGGAAAAGCAATAGCTGAGCATGTTGTCAGAGGCTGTTCAAGTACATAGGTGTTTGAGCCATGGTGCCGAGAAAACCAGCCACATTTTCTAATGCTACTCCCTCTGCTCTCTCTTGCTGGCCCCCACCTCTCACGGGTCGGAGGCTCTGAGGCTGGAAGGCTGACATTCCATGGTGGTTGCGTCAGGGAGGTTCTACAGAACAAAGGGCATGAACTTTGAAATAGCTATTGGCTGCTCAGCAATCACATGCTTTCAGATTTCTGGCTGTTTCACATAGTCATGGGGCTGTAGATCTTCCCTACATAAGTGGTGTTCCAGTACACACACACACACACACACATGCACACGCACACACACGCACACACACATGCACACACACAGGCCAAGTGCTAAATTTTGGATAGCTCTACTATGTAAAGAAATTTTGAGAAATTTCTCTGATACCTCCATTCTACTGGGATAAGTTATTTTCCTTTTAGGGACAATTTTGGTAGGTATGGATGGAACAGAGCTCCCCCCAGTATATATCCCGCTCACATGGTGAGCTTGAATATGACTCCATTTTTTATTTTAAGCTACTTAAGATTCTCTTGTTTTGGAGAAACTATATCCCTCTGCCCCAACTATGAGCTAGATTCTAGAGATTAGAAGAAACTCGGGAAGCTGCTCATTGGTGAAGGTATCTTAAATACTTGCATTTGGTTCTGCATAGTTTGTGCATAAGGTTAACTAGAAGGTAACGTCCCCTGGTGATCCATGACTCTCTCACACTCATGTTGACTCATAAAGAAAAAGAAGTGATAGGTTAGGGAAGTACAAGATTAGATTAATTCAGGACTAATGAATTTATAACCCATGTTTTGCAGAAAACTGTGCTCTAGCCAGATAGAGATTTTAAAGAGCTATATGATGTGAAATGCTTTGGTTTGTTTTGAAAAATAAACAAGTTCTGTTCAACTTAGTTTACCGTAGGCTTCAAACGTGTTATTGGCTCTTTTGAAATTTGGGCTTATTTGAAACGTAAAAAAGTCCTGAAAGTGGTGTCTTCAGTTGGTTCATCAAAGTTCCACCTGATGATGGGGGTAAACTTCAGCACAGCGTTTATGTTTGTCTTTGAAATGTATTAAATCTTCCTTTTGCTGAAGTTCTTTTTGTTTTAGAGCTCCAGGTCTGAAACAGTACCAGATCCTTACCACAAGAGGGAGCTGGACCATGAAGAATTAATGGGTTGCTTTGGAACTAGAAATAAAAACAGGGCGAGTGCATGTGATTTGAGGTAAGACCGTCAGTAGGAGCTGTTGAGACAAAAGTTATTCCTCAAGTGATTACCCCATTCTTGCAGTTGTTTATACCAAAATTCAGAGTTAGCCTTGACTTTTCTAACTTCCCAACCTATTAAGCTTGTCCTTTTATTCTGTTACTTTGACTGACCCTGGGCTACCAATTCTTAGAGAGAGCAAATATCTCATGCCATTTACATGCCCAGCAACCACTGTGGAGCCCACACCACAATCAGCTTCTTTGTACACGGCTCTTACAGGCTCTTGTTCGCCAGGCCAATATCGCCCCAGGGCCAGGTACCGGGCAGCTAAAGACCCCTCTACACCCGAGAGCCTGTTGAAATTATTCAAAGGAATCAATCCTAAACCTGCTTACCCTGCCTCACCTGTTCCTTCCCCCAAGATCATAATAAAGGTCCTTGTCCACGTTTTCCCCTGCTCGCTTGCGACTGACATTCATATTTCCCCATGTGACCTCCCCGTACCGCCTCCCTCCCACCAGCACCAATTCCACCATGGTGCCCTCTCCTCTGGGAACGGTGAGTCGCCAGGTAGCCAACTGTCTTTCAATGGCACTTGTCTCCTGGTGTGCTGGCCTCACCATACCTGAATAATAATAATATACACCTTTGAAAAGAACCCCATATCTCGTCTCTACAAATTCTATCGTCATTGGCTTTACGGCATGTCTGAGATTCAGCCACTTCTCCTTGTCCTTTCTGTTTGCCTCCACCATCATCTTGTCCTTCCTGCTGTCACCTGGCCCCACACTCACTGCAGTCTGTTCTCCACCTGTTAACAGTGAGAGTGATAGAGTGATCTTGGGATAGCAGGAAAGCAGCTCTTACCCTCTTCTGTTCAGAGCACTCCAATGGGTGGGCTAACAGCAATTAAAATTTTACAAGTGTTTTTGGAACAAATAGTAAACAAAGTTAGACAAAGCTGGTTTGTTTTGAAAAACAGACAAAAGTATTTGATATCATCTATTGATTTCCCATTACACTCTGAGTTAATCCACAAAGTCCTTAAAATGGCTTTGGGGGCCCCACCGGTCTGGCTTCCTGCTCCTCTTTTGAGCACATCACCCAGTCCTGTCCTCGCCATCCACCCTGGCCTCCTGGCTGTCCTTGGACACTCCATGCAAGTTCCCATCTCAGGGCTTGGCTCCTTGCAGCCCCTCCTGCATCTGGAAACTTTCCCCAGGCCCCCTGATTTGTGCTCTCCTTTCTTCAGTGAGGGCTCCCCAATCTTGCCCCTGAGCATCTCTTCCCACACTCCTTCCCCCTCCCCTGTCCCGCAGCATTTCCTTGGCCAGTGTCCCCACAAAGGCAGAGACTTTGTTATTGTTCACTGCTGGGTTGTTCATGTCCTAGAATAGTGACCGTTAGATGGTAAGGCTGAAGAAATCGATGTTGAACGGATGAGCAAACAGAGAACATGAGTTTTAAAATAAAGACACTCTAGCCCCGTCATTCTTACCTCAAATATTTGGAGATTGCTTCATATGCATCCAGGAAGAAACACTTGCTGGTTCCCAAAAGCCTGTCATGTAAGTGAGAAGCGAGCTGGATGCTTCACTCATTCAGCAGTCTACGCAGCGCACACTTTGGCGTGGCCTGTTGGCCTCCGTGTGGTGCAGAGAGCGGGGACCAGTGAGGGCAGGCCCAGAGAGTCAGGGGAGCTTTGCCGGGCAAGGCGTCTTCACTGGGGACTTCTCGGAAGGAGGCAGGCTTCGGCACTCTGAAGTAGTAGGGCCACGGTTAGTGAACCTGCACCACACCTCAAACACAAGCTTTTTCTTTTCTTTTTTTTCCCCAGGTATCATTATTCGTGCAATTTTACAAAAATTGTAAAACTTACAAATTTACGAATAAAGAAAACTGAGGCACAAAGAAGTTATGTCCACAGTTAGGACATGACAGAGCTGGGTTTTCAACCTAAGGCGATTGCCAAAGCTCTCTTAACCATTACGATCCACTCTGTCCCATTCCTTCATTGAATTTCTTGAATGCTTACTGTGCGTCAGCTGTTGAAGACCCACCAGTGAATGAAACAGACTGAAATCCTTGCCCGCCTGGAGCGGACAGTCTAGTGGGAGGAGACCATAAACAAGCGTGATGGATTACTAAATTAGATAGTAAGTTAGAAGGTGATGGGTGGTATGGAGAAAAAGAAAGGAAGGCAAACTGGTTTGGGGATTCTGGGGGGAGAAGGGGGTTGCAGTTTAGGTGGGGTGGCCAAGGTAGGCTTATTTCAGTGAGGACTTGAAGGTGGGAGGGAGCCAGGCAGCTGCCCTGGAGGAAGACATGCACAGGTCTCGAGGGGGTGAGAGCCCAGCATTTCAAAAGACAGGGAAGTGCAGGTGACTGCACTGGAGGAAGGAAGAGGGTGGGGGCACAGCAGCATCACTCAGTCTCTTCAATCCCAGAGCACCCCTGTGCAGCAGGTTTTATCCACATTTGCTAGAGTCCAACCTATAGCCCAATGTCACAAAGACAGCGGCAAAGCCGATTAAACCCAGGCCTACTCAAAAGCAAACAATCCAATTAAAAAATGGGCAGAGGACCTAAATGGACATTTTTCCAAAGAAGACATCCAGATGGTCAACAGACACATGATAAACTGCTCAACTTCACTAAGCATCAGGGAAATGCAAATCAAACTATAATGAGCTATTACCTCACACCTATCAGGATGGCTAATATCAGAAAGATGAGAGAAAACAACTGTTGGCAAGGATGGGGAGAAAAAGAAAACCCTGGTGCACTGTGGGAGTGTAAATTGGTGCAGCCATTATGGAATATAGTATAGAGATTCCTCAAGCAATTAACATGAGAACTACCAAATGATCTAGCAATTCCCCTTCTGAGTATCCGAAGAAAACCAAAACACTAATTTGAAAAGACATTTGTGCCCCTATGTTCATTCCTGCATTATTTACCATAGCCAAGATATGGAAACAACATAAACATCCACAGATTGATGAATGGATAAATAAGAGGTAGTATATGTACACAGTGGAATACTACTCAGCCATAAACAAAAATGGAATCCTGCCACTTGGGACAACAGGGATGGACCTAGGGGGTATTATGTGAAGTGAAATAAGTCAGACAGAGAAAGACAAATACCATTTCATTTCACTTATGTATAGAATCTAAGAAAAAAAAATCACACACACAAAACAGACAAAAAAAACGGAAACAAACTCATAAACACAGAGAAAAAACTGGTGGTTGCCCGAAGAGGGCAGGGGATGGGCAAAGTAGGAAAAAACCCAAAAATACAAAGCAAAAAACCAGTCTGCCTGTGGAGCCCAGCTCCTTTCCAGCACATGGCCCTCCCAGTGCCACCAAGGACCAGCAGGAACGGGGAAGCCTTGTCACTGAGGAAGCTTCATGTGGTGCTGGTGAGGAATGGAAGATGAGATGCGATGGAGAAGCTACGACTGAAATCCAGGCAGAGGGGTCTGGGAGTTCTGGATCCGGGCAGAAAGTGGTGAGAATACAAGTAGGGGAAGCTGGTCTGGGTGTCCCACGGCTCGAGGAGGGACCACAGTCTGCGAGATCAGTTGATTGGCACTAAGCAAATGAACAAGGGAAAGGAGGACTAAGGATATTAACGATGGCCTTAGCATGTCAAGGTCAGGAGGAGATAGGAGCTCCCACAACTGTGGTTAAGAGAATAGTCTGGAGCCCAGCCGTCTGGCTTCAGACTCTGCCTCTACCACTTCCATGACTATTACTTAATTGCAAGTTACTTAACATCTCTATGCCTCAGTTCTCCCTTCTGTGAAATGGGATAATAGCAGTACCTATATCATATGGCTGTTAAGAAATCATCTAAATATTTAAAACCACCTTATAAACTCTACATAAATGTATATTTGTAGAACCTCTCCCATACCCACCACTTGAGAATTCTCTAAATTGATGTGAATTAATTTAAAAATCCATTTATTTATTTAAAGAGACTAACCTTTCTTCTCTGAAGAAAATAAAACAAAACCTGTGTTGCAGATGAAGCAGATACTGTGGATAGTCAGCCCAACTGTCATTTCTTCTTTCTTTCTTGCTGGGAAAACCCTAGCTTTGTTTGGGCCACCCACTCTTCTCCACAAAGCCCTATGCTTCCCTCGGATAATCACGACACCGCCATGGCCCTTGCAAGTGATTCATTTAGGTTTCCGCAGTGGTACAGAGAAGAGACTTTCCTTTTCACCCACTGGATGCTGGCTGTGATGTCTGGAACTACAACAGCCATACTGTGAATGTGAGGTGGGCTGGTCCCTGAGGGCAAACCTGACAAGCTGAGAATTGCGGAGCAGAAAGATGGAAAGGACCTGGCTGAGCTGCTGAATTAACAACTCCAGGGTCACTCAACAGTGTCTCATTATGTGAGGGTCTTATTATGTGAGGTAATAAATTTTCTTTACTGCTTAAGCCATATTGAGTTGGGTTTTTATGTTTCTTGAAGCTGGCAGCATTCTGATACTTGAAGTAAAAATTTAGTAGCAGGGGCGCCTGGGTGGCTCAGTTGGTTAAGCGGCTGCCTTCGGCCCGGGTCAGGATCCCAGGGTCCAGGGATCGAGTCCCACATCGGGCTCCTTGCTCGGCGGGGAGCCTGCTTCTCTCTCTCTCTCCCTCTGCTTGTGCTCTCGCTGTCAAATAAATAAAATCTTTAAAAAAAAAAAATTTAGTAGCAAGCTAGATAAATCCATTCATCTTTTTCTATGTATAAGAAGTGAGGCTCTAATTTCCCAAAACCATGGCTTTTGGTTTTCACAAAGAAACAAAATTTTAAGAAAAACATATACCAATATGTTGCTGTAGAGTTAGTTAGCATTATGTTTTTATATAAAAGGCAACAGTTGTTTTCTAAAATAGTTTTGGGGCAGAACTTTCTTATTGAACCACCCCAAATCAGTCAGATGCTGAACTGAAATTAAATGTTGAGCACAGGGGTGCCTGGGTGGCTCAGTTGGTTAACCGTCTGCCTTCGGCTCAGGTCATGATCCCAGGGTCCTGGGATGGAGCCCCACATCACATCATCGGGCTCCCTGCTCAGTGGGGAGCCTGTTTCTCCTTCTCCTTCTGCTGCTCCCCCTGCTTGTGCTCTCTTGCTATCTCTCAAATAAATAAAATCTTTTTAAAAAAATAAATGTCGAGCATAGCATAAAATCCTTCTGAATGACTTATCTAATTCTGGATATGGCCACTGAAATACTTTCAAGTGTAACATGAACCAACAGACAGAACAGTTTGGAGCATTAAAACCTCAAGGCAGACATTTAGTGAGAGGTATATGTGGGATGATCACTGAGACTAAAATAATTTGGTCTCAGTCTTCCTCACCTTACCTTATTCTACCACCCTTGATTCCACACCAATTTTAATACCCAAAAAGATGCCTGATCCTTCCCTTTTGAGATTTTAGCTTCTCAGAGTCACCCAATTTGCATTAAAATTTTAATCTCATCCCCGTCTCTCCCGCAAGGAGGAAGAATACTAATATTGTGTGTCAGTGGGTGAAACTCTGTCTTAAAGATCCAGATATGGATGTGTCTCCATCCGGGTGATGAAGCTAATCCAGCATCAGAGTCTGGATTAGTCATCTTATTTGCTTCCCTTTCCTTCCTTGGATGGAAGGAAGTGTGAGAAAATCAAAGACTGGTCAACTGAGGGAGGGAAGATCAAGCAGGAGGTCTCACACCTGCTTCAGTTTGATGCTTAACTGTGCCTCCCTTAATAACACCCCACTTACTAGAATCCACTGCTTTGGGTCCCTGGGCACAAGGTGCAGGTGGTAGCAGAGTACTATTTTTACATGTGTGTCATTGGCTTTTTTCTTTGGGAATGTTGTAGGGGTGAGTTTGGGAATGTGAGCTGTGATTTGGGGAGGAACAAGGGGTTCCTGGTTTCCTCAGCTCAAAGCTGTCCTAAGAGCACCCAAATCTACCACATCTAATAAAATTCCTATTATCTTCTTTAAACCATGAGCTGAAGCTTCCCGTCCTTCAGATACTTCCCCTGATCAGTTCATTTATATTCAATACCCTTAACATTTACGTAATCAACTAGACCCTTTGGGTTGATGTTGATGATTCTTCTGGATTCACAGGTGTATGTGGAGTCATGCTAAATAAATGTAAAGCTCCTAGCCATTCCATACCCCTCCTCTCATGCTTTGAAAATGGCAAATAGCTAATAACATTTTAAAACAACTCAAAATGGGGGCGCCTGGCTGGCTCAGTCGTTAGGCGTCTGCCTTCGGCTCGGGTCATGATCCCGGGGTCCTGGGTCAAGCCCCGCGTCGGGCTCCCTGTTCCTCGGGAGGCCTGCTCCTCCCTCTCCCACTGCTTGTGTTCCCTCTCTCGCTGTGTCTCTCTCTGTCAAATAAATAGAATCTTAAAAAAAAAATAGATCAGAAAGGTATGTAAAAACCAACCCAAGACCAACTTTCTTAATTAAAAAACACACACACACACACAAAAACCCAAAACTCAAAATGTAAAGTTTGCTTAGTAATTTAAACACATAGGTAGACATATCATAATAGGGCCTCTAGGTGGTTAAGTGTCTGTCTGCCTTCGGCTCAGGTCACGATCTCAGGGTCCTGGGATGGAGCCCTGAGTCAGGCTCCCCACTCGGCAGGGAGTCTGCTTCTTCCTCTGCCCCTCCCCACCCCCCATGCTCTCTCTCTCTCTGAAATAAATAAATAAATAAACAAACAAATA